GAAATATAAGTGTTAGTATGAGAAAATGATATTACCAAAAATTGATTAAAAATTTTTAAAAATCACTTAAAATACTCAAAAAAGGATATTTATTAAAAATATAGCAAGATACGATCACTATTATGTCAATTAAATACAATTCCATACTTAGTGATTTCTAAGGGAAGTATTATGTACCGTGCGGGGACACAATTGTATGATCGTACATATATAAGTACAGAGGTCGATCGCGACTCTTAATACTATAGTGAAAGTACATTGTATGAACGTCCCATACCAATATCATATGGAAGTAAGGTCTAATGGTAAAAGTAATAATATGTGAAGGCTCAGAGAAAAAATAATAAATATAATGAAGAGCAATGAATGACTTGGGACTTTATAAGAGATATTACTATGGAGTTGCGTGGTACTTCTGTACGACGATATGGTCTACGGTAAACGTGGAACCATGAATGGATATGTTTTCAGTGTTGGACATATCATCGATAGCTGGTGGTAGTTGGCGTCTTAGTGACCATCACTATGATACGTTGGCTGTCATTCGGCATAGTAAGAGTTTGGTGGTAGTTGGCGTCTTAGTGTGTTGCACTATGATACGTCGACTGATCATCTGACTTTGCGGAGTCTGGTGGTGGCTTGCGTCTTAGTGTATTCCACTATGATACGTTGGCTATTACTTGGCTTGGGTGGGGGTCCGTTGGTGGTTGGCGTCTTAGTGTTTACGCTATGATACGTCGACTATCATTCGGATCGTGAAAGAGTATGTTTGGACACTTCGTGTGTTCCGAGTATATTCTAAACTTTGGAGCTGAAGTTGATTGGAGTTGTATTGGTGTGGTGTGAGGGTGTGCCACCTACGCGATAGTCACATTGATGCATGCGGCTATATGCAGTACTGCGTCTTGTGGTAGTTGCGGGGTGATCTGCGCCTAATATCATTGCGTCGTATGATTCTGGTTGACGGAGGTTCGAGGTGATGATGTCTGCTGAGTATGCGGATAGGCTGCATGTTGGCGTGTTGACCTGCGATAGTTGTATTGATGCATGTTGCATTTAGCGACATTGCGTCTTACGACATTTGCTTGGGAGACGACGCTATTCATAATGGCCGAGTCTGCGTCTCGGTTTGATGCACATCTCAGTAGATTTGTCCAAGTCGGGTTCCTGATGACGGAACTGCAGACTGTCTGACCTCCTGTATACGTTTTAACATAATTAACGAATCTCAGTAAAGTTCCCACCGTTCGAACGAATAATGGCAACTTGCTGGTGGGTGAGACAAACTTGATCGAAAATACCCTATACTCAACGTCAGAGACACTGACAAATAAATATATGTTGCCAATTATAAACCCTTCTGATGGCTAAACATAAAAATCACAACTATGGCTATATCTGACTATTTCAATGGTTGGTGGAGCATATGCGTTTACCTCATGTGGATGGTAGCTGGCGGGAGAAAACCTCTCAAGGCTGCGGCGATGCCATGAAACGTTTTAACCATACCCTTGGGGTGAGCAGTGACTCATAACGCGCTCTGCGACGAAATGTCGTGCTAACCTTTTTAATGGTGGTGATGCCAAAACACTAACAATCACGTCTGCAGTCGCGGCGATCTGGCAAAAGTGGTGGCGCTTACGGAGGGCTTATTATATGCTTACGCATTAACACATGCCCAAAACCGTATTGACGTACATTCACGAAGACTGGACTTGTCGTCGGCTTGTATGACGTTTACACGCATTGACATGCGCGACTTCGGTCAAAGTTTGTGCTTACGCACTGCCAAGGGGCCAAGCCCTCTTTATGCTGTTAAAACAGCTTTGCAATGGACTTCGGTCCTTTCCCCAACTTTTTGTCCCTCTTCTGGGGGGGGGGGGGGGGGGGGGGGCGCTAAATGTTGGTTGGCGCTCACCGCACACGGCGTTCGTGAGTGTTTTCATGGAGCCGTGTGCCTTCCCTACATTTTTTTTAAAATGTGGGGGAGCTGTTGACTTGTATCGGGTATGTAAAATTGATGTGAGCCCTTTTCAAGAGAGGGAGTATACTATATACTCTGAGCCCGTCTCAAGCGAGTCGGGATTAGTTAATAAGAAAGCAATCTGACATTATCTCTGGCTTGAACCACGACTAGTGAATAATTATCTATCCAAGATACACCTTAAAGAATCAAGTTACTAATTAAATCTGACGATCACAATAATATGTATACGGCTAATTATTACCTTTAGAGAGATCCTATAGAAAGATCAATAAATTATCCTGGTCACGTAATGATGTTATATGATTTATTCATATAACGGGGCAGAAAGATATATAAGTATAATTATATATATATACACAATAAAGGGGGGGTGCGAGTTACACAGTGTACGAGACATCCACAGTGCTATCGTCTGCATAACAATGGACGTTGCTGATTTGCAACATGTCATTGACATGCAGAAGAAACAGAGTAGGAGACAGTACGCAGCCTTGTGGAACACCAACATTGACAAATTTGGGATCGGAGCACGGACCGTCGACGACGACCTTGATGCTCCGATCAACCAAAAAGCTGGTGATCTAATTGCATAATTTCTCGGGAAGCCCATAGGAAGGCAGCTTTGTGCCATACCCGATCAAAGGCCTTCGCTATGTCCAGACTAGCTGAAAGCGCCTCCCCCTTGCTCTCAACTGCTTCTGCCCATCTATGTGTAAGATAGACCAAAAGATCACCGGCTGAGCGAACCCGACGAAAGCCATACCAGCGGTCGCTAATCAGCTGGTGCTCCTCTGGGTGTCGCAGGAGTTGGCAGTTGATAACGGACTCCATTATCTTGGAGAACAAGGAGGTGATGGCTATGGGCCTGTAATTGGACGGATCCGAGCGGTTGCATTTTTTAGGGATCGGGTGCACCAAAGCGGCCTTCCATGATTTCGGGACTACGCCTAAAGTATAGGAGTGCCGGAAAAGACGCGTTAAAACCGGTGCCAACTCTGGAGCACATGTCTGCAACACGACCGGAGGGATGCCATTGGGCCCACTCGACTTGTGAATGTCCAAGGAAAGAAGTGCTTTGCGAACTGCACTTTGCCTAAATTTTACCTCCGGCATCGTAGCGTCGCACTGGGGGATAGATGGTAATGAGTTTCCTCGGTCATCCAGAAGATCGGCTTTCTCCTTCGCGGCATGGGCTAACGAACCATCCTCCGTGTGCAGCCCAGGCTCAGTAGCATTCCCACTTTCGGCGGAATGCCGTCTTGCAGGAACGACCAAACCAAGGTTGGGATTTGCCACCAATGGGTATTGCAGAAAATGGAATAAACAGTTCCATGCCCTGAAGCACCACATTGGTGACAGAGTCAGCAACGGCGTCTGGATCATCCAACGAGAAGCAAATCTGCCCCCATGGGTAGGATGCAAAGAATGACCGCATCCCGTCCCAATCCGCTGACCTGTAGTGCCATAAGCGGCGACAGCCTGCAAAGCGAAGCCGTGTAGAGAGCGCGCAACTGGCACTGTACTCCTGACTAGACAGTGGTCCGACGAACCAAGAGGAGGATCGACGGAAACCAGGTAGCCGTCCGGATGAGAGGTCAGCAGAAGGTCCAACAGGGAAGGTGTATGATCCACCACATCTGGGATTCGCGTTCGCGAGGTGACCAATTGAGTCAGATCATAAGCTATTGCGAAGTCGTGAACAGATCTCCCCGCATGATCGGTGGTGCGTGGACTGAGCCATTCGGCGTGGTGGGCGTTAAAATCGCCAAGAATCACGATCTCTGCAGATGGGATCTGCTGCAGCACAGAGTCTGTAGCCATTTGGATGTGCTCAATGAGTCGGTCAGTTTCGGAATTACCGCTGTGGGACCTATATAGGCACGCGTAGATTCGCGGATGGTCGTCGCAGTCTACGCGTAGCCAGAGGATGGATAGGTCCCGTCCTTCAAGACTGCCGAGGTTACGAGAACAGATATCCTCTCTGACGTACACGCACACCCCAGCCCGCGGACGTGTGTGCTGTGCGCTAGTGGACGGCATTAAGGTTGGAGTGAAGACCCCTGATGTTACACAAATCCACGGAGAGCGTGGAAGGGGTTGCCGAAGTGTGCCTGCTACGTTTGCCCCCCGCCCCCGAGTACGTGGGGCAGCCTAAGCGCCTACGCTCAGAAAGCGAACAATTATGTTATAGAAGAGGGGGAAGGGGGGGGATAGGCATCCGGTAACCTCACTCACCAGACGAAACGCAGAAGCATGAAGCTTCCACTTTACGCCGGTCTTCTGTGGCCCCGGACGGGCCTGCCCATTCGTGCAACAGAGAATTCTGTTGCGAGGCCCTACCACGTAGACTCTTCCAGAGACATAATATGTTATAAATTATTTATTGCCTTTTCAAAAGTAATTTAGCCATTGATGAAATTATTTTATTAAATAAAATAAACTAAAATAATATTTTGTCGTATACATTTTCAGAGGATTTTTATGAAAAAGAAATATGAACTAAATCTTTAAAATGAATTAAATATACAGTGTATCCATTTTTTTAAATTAAATTCTGGATATAAATAATGTTATATAAAAATGATAAATATTTAAAATCACTCGTTATTAATGGGCTTAATAAAATCGTATGATTTATGGGCAACTTATTTATTTTACGCGCGATCATTCATAATTAATACGAACACAAGTTTCAAATACGACGTTCAAATGCGTTCAATGCACAAGATCATTTCAAATGCGGATACGACGCATTTATAAATGACTACCGCATTGTCAACAAGTTCTCTTTTTTAGGGAATAGAATGGAAATTTTCTTTAAAAAAAATTGTTTTTGTTTCAATAAACGATTATCGGCCACCCTGTATACAGACATCTATACACACTCAAAAATTTTGGTATCTGTTTCAGGTCAGGTGAATATCGTCATTATCGCCAAAACGGATTTTTTTAAGATTTAAACAGGGCTTTAAATGAAATGAGGCCATCTTATATATGAGCGGTTCAGACCCTAAGCCCTTAATTTATTACGGTCTTCTTTCCCACCCTCAACCACTAAGATCTTATCGCTGCAATCTGTGAAGTACTCCACCTTAGAGCTAAGGTCCCTAAAGGCTTTGTGGGACTCGACATGACTTCTGCAGCCAATGTGCTCGGGAACAGACGAGACCTCGAAGTCGACGTTGCAAATTACGCAGTTCACAGTCCGCTCGTTGACCTGTTGAAAGACAAGTCCATGTTTTTATTGACGAAAAACAAAGCCGACTTCAAATTCACTGTATCATTTTATAATTGATTTTCAGGAGTTCCCTATGTATCTCCGGAGCCCAAGATATTATTACGTCCAATACCAAAGAGGAAGGTTACGCTCACCGTCCGTATCAAAGCGGGGAAGTGCTGGACCAGGAATCTGTGCGCGGACTCCACGTGCGAGGGGTTATTGGTGTGCGCTGTCAGTTCCTCACTCATCAGGTGTTTCTCGCACAAGCGGCACCAGGCGCCGCTCTCGCCCTCCCGGATGCCGTGCCAAGCACGCCACTCCACCTTCGTGGCGTCTCCGTTGATGATGACCAGTTTGTCCAGCCTCCTGGCGCCTACCACGCCCTGAGGGGAGAGCTTCAGGGCCTGCCCCACCTTGATTTGGGGTTCGGCCGCGCTAAAGTACATCGCCTCCTTCTGGAGAGCGATCTCGTGGTGCACGGGGCTCTTGCCCCTCCTCGCTTTCTTCTTTATGCCGCTCGCTCGTTCCACGTGCTGCAGGTGCACCGGCCAGGCGAGGTGGGCGTTTAAGTCGCGCCGCGGCAGCAACACGTTGCAAACGCCGCAGTGGAACGTCACGTACACCTGGGGAGATGTCGGTTCGATCGTCCCTCATGCGTCTAGGGAGTAGGCGGATTGTGACTTCATGGTTCTCTCGTGACGGCTGGGTTTCCGAGGTGATCGCACTTTCTTTATGTCAAGAAACGACCTAAAACGACTACATTTCCGACTTTTATTAAAACAAGGGCCGATTTTGGAAAGGTATATAAAGTATACTTCTGTCTCTTTCACTCCTAATAAATCTTTATTGTACGCTTCGCCACAAAATATTTTGTGTGGAAGCGTACAATAAAGATTTATTTAAAATGATATTTTTTAAACAGGTCACTGTTATTCTAAAGGTGCGTATATCGAGGAGGTTTTAAAGGTTGGAACCTCAAAGGTTTCGCCTAGTCTTTATATGCATACGGGGCTTTATTTGTTTAAGTGCGTGAGGAACTGACATTTATCTCCTTGGTAGGGTATATGAACGTGAATGATTGCATTTAAATCTGAAATAGGTGGAGATGTAGGATGACTGTAAGGTGTACTATTGTGTGATACTAAGTTAATGACTTCGGCACTGGGATCATGCATTTATTTTGCACGCAGGAATCCAATATAAAACAATACATTCAGACCCAGCGCTTTTGGAATAGAATCTTTCTCCACAACTGCACGTACTGGCAACTGATGCGAATATTTCTTTATTTTTGTAGAAAAGACAAGTCAGAAGATAAAGTTGATTGGCGAACCTACGAAGCATCCAAAATTTAATCAACAAAATTTGATAGACTTCGAGATACAAGTCCTAGCTCACCTGCCGCAGAAGACTCCGTTCGTGTTTCTCCAGGAACTTGTTATTTTGGATGTTCTCTTGGTGCTCGCGCCGGCTCACGTGGACCGCCAGATTGTCCAGCGGTACATGCTCGGAGCAGAGGAAACATTGCCTGCCGCCATCCCCCAACGAGACCAGGGTGTTATAGGAGCAGGCGCTGACCTTCATCACCAGGTTTCCCAGTTTCAGATGGACGAACTCCTCCACGTCGAACTGTGGCACCTCCTCGTCTGGAACTTTGCCACCGCCCAAACCCCCAGATATATTGTCACTCGGTGCTTCTGGAGCGATTTTCTCCGTTACACCGGGGCTATTGCTATCGGCGAGCTCGGTGAGAATGCTGAACTGGTTGCACGGGTGCTTTTTGGCAGCCATTTTGGACTTGGCGACCGGTTGGGGCACGATCGCGTCCTTCATGATGGACACGTGGTAGGGGTCGTTAATATGCGAACGTATGTAGCCGTCCGCGACGAGGACATTGCACAAAGCGCAGTGTAGATTTCCGGGTACCTGGAAATTTGTAACATGATTTAGCGCGGCAGTTGAAGATTATGCGACAACGCAATCAGGGGTGAGGCGTTTGAAAAAGCATTTCGCTCGGTGACGGTCCACCCTCTTAACGGACGTGTGGCCCAGGATCACTAACCATCAGGTGAACCACCTACTCATTTGCAGCCTTATAAACAAAGTTTATCGTGTAATTCCAGAATCCCAGAAAACGTTCAAAATGAATCGGTTGCTCAAATACAAAAAACTTGTAAAGGAACGTTTGTGTGTTAAAGGCTACTGTAACATCAGCGATTATTTAAAAGATAACACACTCTGGTAATGAATTTATCGCTCCAGGCTCTTTAATTTGGAATTTAATACATTGTAAACATATTTTTTTGTCAAATTATGTTAAACGAATTGTCTTTCGCTGGTCCTACTCAGATTTTGACAATCAGTAAGTAAGTGTTATTCATATTGAATAAATATGTTTGAAATTGAATCTTGTTTGAGCCCAACGATTTCACTTTAACTCTTAAACAATTTCACAGCTTGACACAGGATCTTGAAGTCCTAGGAACAAATTAAACAAAGTGATTAATTACGGACGCTCTGACATCGACAGCACGATCCAAACGTCCAGTGATTACTATAATGAAAGTTAAAAATTGTTATAAAAGTGACAGTCTATAAATATCCCTCTGCCGGGCCTACTCTGTACAGAGGGTATCAGGTAGTCCACCACGCAGCCCCACTGCGGATTGGCGGACTTTACATATCTTCGAAATATTTTTTTTGTTATAGTTTCGAAAATATTCAGGTTTCCTTACGTTGTGGTCCTTAAGTGTTTGTTAACTTTAAGTGCTGACTTATCACGTGCTCCGCGGTGAGCACGTGATAAGTCAGCACTTAAAGTTAACAATTTAATCGGTGTTGGCCCCGCGGATCGAACTCAGGTTGCTCGAGTATATTAAAAATAGAGGCGCGCGCCAGGACACTGAGCTATGACGAATTATTAATAAATAATATAACATTGAGGTGAATATTAACTACTTTTCACGGTGGTAGGGCCACGCAGCAGTCTCGGCTGTTGCACGAAGGGGCAGGCTCGTCCGGTAGGGTAGGACCACAACCTCGCAGAAGATCGGCGTAAAGTGGAAGTATAATACTTTCGCGGTTCGTCTGGTGAGTTAGGTGGCCGGAGCCAACACCGATGACATCTTTAATTTCCAAAAGGTTGTCAACGCATCTGGAACCCTCGGGTGTAGCAGATGCCCATGGGTGGCGGTATTCACTTAACATCAGGTGAACCGTCTGCTCGCTTGGAAACTTTTCACATTAAAAAAAAGTACTACGTACTAAAAGTACCACGCTAACGCCCGGTTTATGAATCAATGATCATCGTAGAAGTCAACTAGCCTGGTGTCAAATGGATTTTCAAATGTTATTTCAGTTGTCCAAATGATTATTAAACACTTTGAATATCATTCTGATCAATTCAGGGAGTTTAACAACCCTTTCGGCAACGCAAATAACATTTGAAAATCAATTTGACTTCTACGATGATCAGGTTACAGAAACCGGGCGTAAAAGTTATGCATAAAGCTTATAACCCACCGTTCTGATCATATTGCAGGAAAACTCGACAAGGAATTGGGATCCTTTCAACCTCTCCATGTGATTGGTTTCCTTCAAGTGCCTGGAGATGCTGTCAGCGTTGGACCTGAACTGGCAGACGCAGCAGTAGTAACCGTCGTAGACAAGCACCGTGTTGTAAGAGAGGAGGCTAAGTGTGACCCTGTGGCTGAATATCTTGAGGTCTATGATCTTGGTGATGATGCATTCGTCCCTATCCGGGGGGTTGGGTTGCGGTCTGGGGTTTGGGGATTTTCTTTTGCCCGTTCGAAAGCGTCGCCTTGTCTTGCACGGCGGCGGAGTTTCCGTGCGGCTCCGTCATGTTCTTGTTCTTGACGATGGGGTGCCTCGCTTCTAGATGGTCGTCCATGTCGCTTACCAGCTGAAGGTTGTTGCAGTGGGCGCAGTGGAGCAGCCTGTGGTCGATCTATTGAATCCAAAACGTAAAGGAGTTTTTGTTTTTCCGTTTGAAAATTACAGACATTACGTATATTTCCTAATGCTAGGCAAATACCTCTTCTGTTTTTAAATAAAATCAAAAATATATTTATCCAAAAGACTGCGCTTGCGCGTTCTTATGAATGTCAATTTTAGGTTTCTAAGGTACCACCGGTTCGGAAAGCAGTTTCTGTTGAGAAGAGACCGGCAAGAAACTCAACAGTTGCTCTTTTTCAGGTTTTTTGAGTATCTTCTAAATATTCTTTTGTTTCTGTCCCTTTAAGATGGGGATTTCCTGACGATCTATTGCTAATTGGCATCTTTAACTATTAAACAACAGTTCATGCTGCCCTGATCGGCAGCCCGACCAGGGAAGTACTGCGACCTCACAGAAGAGTATATACGTTTACGTTTCGTCCGGTGAGTTGGGTGAGCGGAGGCCCGCCCTCTGAGTTGATGGCCTGTTTGAAAGGTCTACGGCATTGAAAGTATAGGCGGCGGTTCTAACTTATCAATAGGTGAAATGCTAGCTCAGTTCTCGACCAAACAAAATAAAACAAAAGGAATCATTATTTGAACCTTCTTAAAAAATAAAGAGTAATAGAATGAGAGATTGTGTGTTAGAGAGAAAGGGAAAGGGAGCATGTCAAAAGAATGATGACAACACAAAATTTACATATTCGTACATAAAAAGTGAAAGTATTTGTATTATTTTCTGTGTACATAAATTATAAAATAAATAAAAACACTGTATGCGCTGTCGTGGGTCGATCTTGTGACTTGTCCCCCACAGACGTTAGTACGAACCACGGAATAAAAGGATCGCTCCACGCCACTCACCCTCCTGACAAGGTGCCGCTTGTACTTCTTGACCACGGTACACTTCATCAGGTTTGACAGGTGGCGGTCTTCACTGCAGTGGTCCAGCTTCCGCCGCTTGTGGCCCTCCGCGCGGCAGACCATGCAGTAGAACCGGTTCGGGCGCGGCGCGAGCAGCATGTGCCAGGTATCCGGCTGGACCCAGGCCTTCCGGGTGCCGAGCTCCACCTCTATGTACTTCGGGGCCCTGCTGGGCGAGCCGGCAATAGACGCGTAAGTGGCGCCCTCGTCCGCGCCGTCGGAATCGCTGCAGTGCGCCGGCGGCTGCGGGCAGCACACAGGGCCGGATTTAGTGGAGGGCAACCGGGGCAACAGCCCCGCGGCCAGGGCCAGATTTATGGGTCTGGAGGCCTCGGGGCAACAAAGGAGTGGAGGCCCCTTGCTCCCAAATTATTTTCTATTGATTTCTGTTGATATTTAATTTAATCATGTTTGTACAAAGTAATGTAGGTAAAAGTGAAACGCGAAGAAAAATATGAAAGGTAAAGTTGTTTACTAGTCTGAATCTTTTTTTTCTTAAGTCTCGTTTGTGCAGGCCCCGGGACTGTTGCCCCGGTTGCCCGCTTAGGCCTTGCCCGCGGCCTCCACAAACGAGGGAGCCCCACAATAGAGACTTCGGTAAAAAAAGTTTCAAATTCAGACCAATAAACAACAGTAAATAACTTTTCCTTTCATATTTTTTTCGCGTTTTACTTTTACCTACAGTACTTTGTGATTACATAAAATATTAACAGAAATAAATAGGAAATAATTTGGGGTCAAAGGGCCTCCACTCCTTTGTTGCCCCGAGGCCTCCTGACCTCTAAATCTGGCCCTGGCAGTGCACCCAAAGTTGGAAAAGGACGACGATATATATATATAGCTCGCTCTTGCTTCCGCGAGGGTATGCGTAGGCATTTCCCCCACGTCAAAAAAAATTACGGGTTGCACTCAGCGAGTGCTGACAGAAGTGAAAACATATTTTGGCGCGTTAGACATTTCTTAAATAGGTACTAGGGTCATTGGGTTATGAGTTGGATTTTATTTTTGAATTATATTTTATTAATTATTAGAAACCTTAAAATACGTTTAGTATTCTTTTATGAATCGTCCATAACAATTTCGACAACTCTTGTATCATCATCATTATCATGTAAATTATTACAATCTAAAATAGAAACTATACGTTCATGGTAACTAAAATAGGAAATAACATTTTGATTTGAAGTTATTTAAATATCTCGTGAATACCGCATCAAGTGTAATTTTATATCTTGTTCTGCTAATATTGCGTTGAATGGACATAGTAAAATCAAATTCTCTATTCAAAAATTCGATTAAGCACACTATAGCCGCGTCTCGTAACGCGAGTCCAGAGATTTTATCTCATCTAAAAATATGCGTACCGCGCTAAAAGAAGTTTTCATTTATAAAAAAAGGTTCGAAAAGGACAACGGAAGTTACGAGTGTTTGTTATTTTTTTATTTTATTATTTTTTTATTTTGTTATTTTAACCAAGGACTGAACGAGCTGCACAGTTTCTAATCTCCGCGATGCGATTATTAGTCATTGAATGAATGAATGAATGAATGAATGAAATGTATGACTAGCTGTTAACCGCGGCTTTGACAGCGCTGCCAAAGGGAATTAACAATGAGTTTTTTATTATACACCAGAATATCTCGCAGATGGCTGAATTTTCTCCTACTTTGTTGACACTTATCATTATGTCTTATATTTTGGACAATTCACATAATATCTTTATAAATTATAGCCTGTGTGTTATTCTGATGTATAAGCTATATTATTGTATCTTCATTAAAATCTATTCAGTAGTTTTCGCGTGAAAGAGTCATAGAGTCAACATCCATGCATACATATTAAAAATAACATAGTAAGGAAGTAAGGATGTATAACGATATATAATATTGTACACTAACAACTGATATTGAATAATCAACAATAAATAATACAAAATAGGCGGTCTTTTTTATGTGAGAAAGTGGCAAACGAGCTGGCGTTTCACCCGATGTTAAGTGATAACCGCCACCCATCGACATTTGCAACGCCCGTAGGATTGCAATGGCGGAAACTCATCTGCAACCCCCTTTTTTTTACGTGGGAAATATCCTTTATGGATCCCCTGCCACTAGATAGGAGAAGTGGCATGGGTATGTGGGAGTCCCGTTAGAAACGGGTACCCACTAAAAACCCACGTTGCACCTGTCTCTGTCGCATCAGCCGCGGAACACGTGAACGCAATCTTCCGCGACCCACGCATCTACAACCCTGCGGGTGCTCCTAATGCCAACGGGTGGCGGCGGTCACTTAACATCAGGTGAAACGCCAGCTCGTTAGCCGCCTTCCAAATAAAAAAAGAGGCTTAAGTCAAGAGCTCACGTAATCCATCCGGCGGGAGCAAGTAGTGAGGTCATCGTAGAAGCCACCGAAGTCGTCTTCCTCCGGATCACCGCCGTCCAGGTCGAACTCGAGTAGGCCCTTCGGCGATTGACCATCAAATTGTTCGCCTTCGTACATTATGTCCGACACTTTGTTCATGGCGGTCAGCATCTGTTCCTCGTGGCTCTTCGACTCCAGGTGCTCGTCGAGTTCGCCGCCGTCGAAGAGCTCGTTGCAGACGCCGCAGTGGTACATGCCACCAATCTGGAACGGTGGTGTGGCAAAATGTGCAGAAACACGCCGAGGCCGTTGCGTGGATCTGTATAGATCTAGAAGATCCCCTGCCAAGTTGTTTGGATGTGTATAGGGAGATTTAGAAGACCTAAGCAATTTGTGTTCCACAAAGGACAAAAGAGGCTAGGCTAGGCAGTGATTCTTTTGCCACGAAAATTGTTGATGCAAACGCTGTACCTATAAATTGTCAATTTGTGTGCAAAGACATAAAAATCCTTTCTGAGGTAACCGTAATATATATAAAAAATCGAAAGCAATGCCATGTTCTTGAAGACAGCAAAGTCTTACCGTAAAAAAGTGTATATTTGAATAGTATTTGTAATAGTAAAGTAAAAGTAAAGTAACAGCCTATATATGTCCTGCTGGGCAAAGGCCTCCTCTAAACAGAGGATATCAGGACATAGTCCACCACGCGGCCCCACTGCGGATTGGCGACTTCACATATCTTCGAAATATATATATTTTTTGTTATTATTTCGAATATATGCAGGTTTCCTCACGATGTTTTCCTTCACCGCGGATCACGTGATAAGTCAGCACTTAAAGTTAAAAAGTTCATTGATGCTGGCACCGGGGATCGAACTCAGGTTTCTCGAGTATATTGAATTAAAGGCGAGCGCCCGGACACTGAGCTATCACGGCTCACGTATTTGTAATAGCTGAACTTATTCACTGTCAATGTTGTAACACCAAGGACAAATGAAGGTTCTTAACAAAATTTCAGAGCCAGCATTTGGAAGATCGGTATGGCATCTACAAAAGCAAGAAGTAACAATTTAAGCATTCTATGGGAGTTGGCAAATATATATGGCGGTTTGGCAAAATTTTGAAATTTAATTTGTTATCTATGGACTTAATAATGTGTCTACGTATACGAAAAAACTAGGAGAGTTCCGGCAAAAATTACAAACATTTGGTTGATATTTGGCGAGATCTATAAAAGCTTTACTCTAACAATGGTATCTATGTACGTTATCGATGTTTGGGTTTTATACATAGCAAAACCCATAGCCCCTTGCAGTATCTATGGTACGGTAGCTCATAATTGTCACACTTTGGGATTATAATACTGTGTGTTCATTTTGTCTACTCGCTCGATTTCTCTCTTCTTTTGTATGCCAACCACTTTTTGTGCGGCAACAGACAAACGTGATCGTCGATTCGTTACGGGAGAACACAGGAAAACAACTCACTGCTCACCACTGGGCTTCTAACATGCTTACATGAGATACAGGACGGTATCTCGTCGCTGACGATGTATTTTTTATTTTTTAGGGCTCGCTATCTTTAAAAGTAAAAAAAGTAAAATAAGATCCGTCTCTTGTCCGTCTGTCTGTCCATGTGTCACCACTGATTTTCTCAGAAACGGGTGGACCTAACTTGATAGGTCCTCCCGTTCCTTAAAAGATCGGTGATTATTTATCAATTTTATATGGCGATATAATGGGTAGGTGCGGAGCCCTCGGCGTACAATTTCGACTCGCACTTGACCAGTTTTTTTTAAATTAAAGTTGCCTTTACTGTAGGATTACACTGTGTACTGTGTTGTAAGGACTTTTTACAAACACGTGTATAAACAATCACATCCGAAATAATTATCTGTTCGCGGAACCCGATACTTTGACTGCGATACAGAGTGATCAAATGTTTCTACTCACCTTTCTGATGATTGATAAGTCGTAGAGGTCCAATGGGAGGTGGGCTTCCAAATTCCGCGCATGTCCCTTCGAGCTCGTGTGAACAGTGTACCCATCAAGCGGACAGAGGTCATTGCACACGGCGCAATAAAGCTCCTCACCAGTCCTCACCAGCGTGTGCCACTGCTGTTCGGTGAGGAACACTTCAGAGTTGACTATGACGCCGCCGTGGACCTCGTGGATCGTCAGCGCTACCAGTGGGGTGCTATCTGCGAGCGTAAACATCCCAAATGACGAAAGGCCGAGCCAGTCAGGGCCGGATTGGCTGGAATGGCCTCGGAACAACAAAGGAGTAACCCTTAGATCGAGATTATTTTCCAAACGAAATGAACAATTTTTTTTTTCAGTCGAGTTTTCCAATGGATAATTTATTAAAACAAGTATAGATTCTTTTATCGTTTAACGAACATGTGAATATAATAGGAAACAAGAATTATCTAAAATTGAATTTTAGCGTTAACCAACTTCCTAGCTTCCGAGCTTTTGTACAAAGCACTGTAGGTAAAGGTAAAACGTGAAAAAAAAAATATGAAAGGAAAAGTTGTTTGCTAGTGTAAAGTAAAATATCCATTTATTTATATATTATTATTCACCGCTGATATCCGAATACACGTCCATTTCTGAGTCTGTCTCCATCTCAAACCACACGTACTCTTCCTCGGAGCCTTCTTCCAGTTCCTCGAAGAATTCGCCGCTTATCTCGTACACCTTACCCCCTGAAGAGTCAAGTGTAGTAGCCCCTTTGGCCTCTGAAGTTAATTCTAGTGTTGTACCCCTTTTGGTATGTCCAGAGTTTATGATACTTCTCGCCAGTAGATTAGAGTCCACGTACATACTCGGGATTGAGTCACCTTTGGACTTGATCATCCGCTGTTGAGGGTCACCATCGCCATCTTTCAGCATGTCACTGGAAAAGGGAAATATCCAACTAAAATGTTTGTGCGTACAGAACCACACGATAGAATGTTTTTATATATATTTTATGTAGAATAATATTTATAGTAGCGGACCGGACAGACGTTGTCCGTACATACGTCTTAAATTCGAAAATGTCAAACTTTTTTCAATGACTGTGAATCTAAACCATTCTCGAATCCATCTAAACACAGACAAAACATTTCATTGAAATCGGTCCAGCCGTTTAGGAGGAGTTCAGTGACGTACACACGTACAGAAGAACTATGTATATAAAGATTAATACTATATTGCTTCCGTACGCTCGCGTCCACAAAAAACAACAATTTGCCGATAGATTGACTTTATATCTGTTCACAATATCGCAATTAAACAGTAGTTTTTGTAATACTTTTTATTATGAAGTTTTAACGGTTATCGTTGAGCGTTAGTGTTATAAATAATATATATACAACTTTTGAAAAATTCTTTATACATATATATATATATATATATATATATATATATATATATATATATATATATATAAATAAATATATATATATATATATATATATATATATAAATAATATATATATATATATATATATATATATATATATATATATATATATATATATATATATATATATATATATCTATATATATATAAATATATATATATATATAAAGAATTTTAGAACATCCGTTTGAATTTGACGACCCGATTGGTGTGGGGAGTAGTGACCCTGCCTCTTGCGCCAGAGGGTGTGGGTTCGATCCCCACTACTGGAAACATATTGTGTGATGTGTTTCCAGTGTCTAGGTGTTTATATATGCATAATACGCATATATTTACAAAAAAATAGTATGTTTATCAGTTTTCTAGTACCCATAGTACAAGCGTTGCTTAGTTTGGGACTACAGAATGTTGTGTAAAAAAATGTGTCCGAAATATTTATTTATCATTAAAACTGTAGCGTAAAGTTCATTTATAAGGTCACATATGAATGGGTTGAATGAATTTAAAAGAGATAAAACATACTGTTAGAAGGAGAGACTTATAATGCGACGTTGTGGCAACGAATGAAAAAGTCTCTGAATGTATAAATCAGTAAGTTGTAGTTGTATAGCACTTTACAAATTTTGTTTCTTGTTTACTTAATTAGTTTGTTTGAAAAATATTTTTTTTAATTATGGATTTTTTTAACGTTAATATTTTTTTATGATTATTGGCAAGTAGCGTTAGACGTGTGTTCATTTATTGTCGCGATAGTAACTACACGCTGTAGGTATATACTTTTTTAATTTTATACAATAGTATGCTTCTGATTTTTCAAAATTAATTTTCTTACGCCGTTAAAATCACAAGAACAAATTATACATATAATATAAAGCATTAAGACGACGGCTAATTAATAAAATATCCAATCGTATATGACATCATAATCAATTATGCGTTCAATAATCCAAACCACGCATTTTCGCCTCTCCTGTAAAAATTGTGTTTTGTCACATAATTCTTTTTACCTCTAGGGTATAGAATAATTGTGATTAAAATGTATATTAGAAGTTTGTTACTTTTATTCCTGTTCAAATAAATAATGTACATGTTTTTTTAAATTAAAAAAAAAACTACTTTTTAACTGTACTGAACTGGGGCACCCCCAGCGATCGCTTTTTTTTTTTTATGGATAAAAGGGGCAAACGAGCAGTAGGCTCACCTGATGGTAAGTGATTACCGCCACCCATGAACACCTGCAACACCCGAGGGCTCACAAATGCGTTGCCGGCCTTTAAATCTAATGAATCCTTTGAATCTAATGATTTAGTTTTTGAATCAATATGCCCGAGCAAAGTCAATTGAAACCTCAATTAACTTTGCTCGGGCAACGGTATTAATGCAACGGTATTAGAACCAAACGAAACAATACTGCGCCACTTACCAGACTTGATCTTTTACCCTAGTCTACGGTAAAGGAAAACCTGCTTTTCGCAAGAAGACCTAAATATGAAAAGGCTGTACACCTTCATATATCTTACTAAAGACAAAATAAAATTCGATTTTGAACTTACCAAAACTGCATTTATTTAAAAGAGCGTTATCCTCTGATTATTACAATATCCAATATTTTTACTCGTACCTACTAGACGACGCGGAACAGTTACCAACTATGATGTTACAACTATGTTACAACGGCCAACTTATAAACGTTTGCGTTGTTTATTTAAAAATGTGCGATTAATCTTAGTATTTTTTTTTGTTTGACAATCAATTTCTAATTAGCCCTAATGGCGGGATGATTGTTAGTAGTTACCTTGTTTGTGTAATGAATAATCAGTTTAAAAAATAGTTCACAACACTAAAATTGAACATTTCTTCAGCTATAGTTTTTGTAATAATATTACTTTATTATTAAATTACTGAACAACGTCAGTACATAACTGCATATGGAACATTTTTTTTTTTCATTTTAAGGCGTTTCAGGTTTAAGAGTGAAAAAATTTATGTGGATATTTACGGACACATTTTTACACGTTTTCTAGTCCAAACTAAGCAACGCTTGTACTATGGGTACTAGACAACTGATAAACATACTTTTCTTCTGAAAACTAATAAATATTATAGTGATTGGGCCACTCAGCAGCCTCGGCTGTTGCACGAATGGGCAGGCCAGTTCGGGTAAGTACCACGACCTCACAGAAAACCAGCGTAAAGTGGAAGTATGACAAATACTTTCGCGTTTCGTCTGGTGAGTGAGGTAGCCGGAGCCCAATTTTCAAAAGGTTCTCAACGCATCTGTAACCCTCGGGTGTGGCAGATGTCCATGGGCGGCGGTATTCACTTAACATCAGGTGAACCGTCTGCTCGTTTGACAACGTTTCGCATAAAAAATAAAAAAAAAATATAAAATCCAGACACTGGAAAAACACTATGTTTATCACACCATATTTTTCCTGTAGTGGAGATTAAACTCACGCCCCGTGACACAAGAGGCAGGTTTACTACCCACTACGCTAATCGGGCTTGCATATGTAATATAATTATGTCATTAATCTCAAATGAATAATTCATGTTTGGCATTCCAATGTCGGAAACATAATTACTTATATTAGACAGTTTTTAAATGTTAGATTAGAATTTAAAATTTTTAGAAAAAGTACGAAAAGATTGTCGCCGCTGTGGGAATCGAACCCACGTCTTCGGCATTCGCGGCCTGACGCTCTAGCCACTGAGCTAAACGGCTGACAGCCACAGCGACGAAAACCTTTAACGCCTTCTTTCTACATTGTTATTTAGCAATTGAAGCAATGCTAGGCGCATCTATTGTTATATCCTTTCCAGCATACAAACAATTTCGAATATCGTTTTACAACGATAATTCAAACGAGAGATGTCGCCATTGCTTCTTAGAAATTTAAATTTTTTTATAGTGCTAATCTTTGCACTTAAGATTGAACAATAAAAATTTGTTGAAAAATTAGATTAGAAGTTTTAAAAAGCTGCAAATAGATGGAGCTAATATAAGGACGTGGAAAAATCTCATATAGGAACGGAGTTGTACAATTATAGAATATGTAGGCTATATATCGCACGTTATCGTTCTGATTTATTTGCGGGCTGAGGGGCTACACCGAAAAAAATGTAACAATAAAAAATGGCACAAAAAATCGACATCTTGTTGAAGTGATTTTTGAGGCCCTTAACGTTAAGGCCTAAATGTTTATATAATAATATTTTTTTTTGTGAAAAGCGGCCAAACGAGCAGACGGTTCACCTGAAGTGAATACCGCCGCCCATAGACGTCTGCTACACCCGAGGGTTTGCAGATGCGTTGACAACCTTTTTAGAAATTAGGCCCCGGTGGTACTGTGATGGACGGTGATTTTTTACGATGGTAGGGCCACGCAGCAACCTCGGCTGTTACACGAATGGGCAGGCTCGTCCGTGTAAGTACCACGACCTCACAGAAGATCGGCGTAAAGTGGAAGTATGATACTTTCGCGTTTCGTCTGGTGAGTGAGGTTGCCGGAGCCTATATTCCAAAAAAGTTATATAATAAACGTTTAAATACCTTTTTATATTAGTATAAATAAATTTAAGAAAGGAATTCCGTTCTAAGCGGGTGTCCATTAAACTCTAATTACAATTAGCCCTAATGTAGTATTACTACATTAGGGGTAATTGTAATTAGAGTTTTATCTACATCTTCATGTTGACCTATTTTGGAGGCATTTAACCATAGATTTAGTATGTAGAATTAGATCCTGTCTATGTGTTTAACTGACATATTGACAAATAGATAGATACAGGATGATTTTATAGACGGCGGACATATAAACAGAGCATATGCAGAATTTGATGTTAAATCTGAATCTGGTACGTACTTGTGACCTCATCTTTGTTTTCAAAGATTATTTTTAATATTTTCAATCATTATGGACACCCTATTAGAAATTCCTGCCTTACAGTCTCAATACAAACCTATTCCCGAGCACTAAAACTTGTCGCTGAACGCATAATTACTAAACCGATTATCAATAGGGTGACCACTCTTAACGGGATAAACAATGTTTGAATGTATCTAATTATTTCTTGTCAAAATAAAATACTAATATTTTTTTTAATTATGGAATGCTCAATTAACGTGTCAAAAATTACTTCGTCAACAAAATCACCCTGTATATAAAAAGTTGCCACGCGAGCAGGCGGTTCACCTGGTGTTAAGTGATTACCGTCGTGTACATCTACCACATTACAACACCAGACGCGTTGCCAACTATTAAAAAAGTGGGCCCGCTAACTTCGCCCACCAGACGAGACGCCTAAGTATAATTATGCTCCCACTTCACGCCGGCCTTCTGAAAGGCCGCGGTATTCCCCGGACGAGCCTGAGCCATTGCGGTTGCTGCGTGGCCCTACCAGTGTTTGTGTGTCGAAACTGGTACCTTATTACTTGTTTTAAGTCTGACGTATTCATATATGAGTAGGCTTCATGTTATACTCT